TCCCCACTCTGTCTCTGGTGAAGCCTCTCACCCTCCGCATCTCTGGCCTGTACCCCAGTTCTGTATGAATAAATAAATCTTTAAAAAAAAAAAAATTCCCGAAGAATCGACACCAGCAGAGCAAAGTAAGACAGAGCAAGCACAAGCACTCACTCCCAGCAGTCAAGGGCATGTAAACTAATCTGAGAATGAAGTCAGTGCCCTGCTGCTTCCCCAGACCCCCACAACTGGCAAACTCCTGGGAGGGAATGCAGACACCCGGAGGCCCTGGCTCTGGCAGCGGGACGAGCCCGCCTGCCCCCACCTGCCCGGTCCTCACTTCCCGTGTGTGCGGGGGCAGGGGCTCCGTGGGAATCTCTGCACCTCCCTCTCAATTCTGCTGTCAGCCGAAAATTGCTCCCCAGAATAAAGTCTTTTAAAACACAGCAACATTTGCTGATGCAAGATAAGAAATGAAATGTTTTGGTGCACGTCAAAAACAGCACGCACGGAAACGAGGGCGAGAGCTGCACGGACCCGAGGCAGCACTCGGAGCAGAAGCCACACAACACCCGCCCCAGCCCCGGCCAGCCGCTTCACAGGCCGGCGAATCCCAAAGACGGCGGAAAAGGCAGAAGACCCGGCAGAGGACACCGGGGAGGACAACGGCGGACTCACCACATCTCACCCACAGCGCAGCGCCAAGTGACAGTAATCAAGACAGTGAGCACTGGCAGAAGAATAGACACCCAGATCGGCGGGACAAAGTAGAGCCGGGAATGGATCCACGGAAATGCACTCAAGTGATCGTGGGCAGAGGAGCAAAGGAATCCGCGGACACGAGGCAGTCTTTTCGGCAAAGGGTGCTGGAACCAATGGACACCCACAGGTTTAAAAATACCCCGATGCAGACCTGGCGTCAGTCACAAATATTAACTGAGACTGGATTTCACAGCTAAATGTAAGATGAAAACAAGGGATCAATCTATGTGATCTTGATTGGATGAGGCTGTGGACACGGGGTGAAAATCACACACCGGGAAATAAAAATGAATACTGCGGACCGTACTAAAATGAGAGACTTCTGGTCTGAGGAGGACACTGTCAAGAGATGAAGAGACAAGCCCCGGAAATGGAGGAAGCTTTGGAAAAGGCATGTCTGAC